AAGGGGTGTCGTGACAGTAAACTCTGTGCAGGAGGAGAGTAGAACCTTAAATATTCTTCTTTAAGTAGGTCACATGTACAACTAAGTCACAGGAACCAGGAGTCAGCCTCGTTAAGAGTACAGTTCCTACAGAGACAAAGGGTTGGCTAAGTGTAAGAACAGAATAAACATTGGGTGCTCTGTGTGGTGACCCAGGGACAGCAGGAGGAAAGGAGAGCTTGGAGATCATCAGGAGCCAGGGGGCAGGGAGAACAGTGAAGAGTGGGTCGGATAGAGGAAGATTCAAGTAAAGGCATGATACTGTCTGGTTCGTAACTCCAAAAGGTTTCAGTGAATACTTATGTGAATGAATCTATGGAGAAAGCACAAAGACCCCCTAGGAGGTCATTCTGGGGATCTAGGCAAAACATGATGATGGCAACTCATGCCATCAGAGTGAAGAAGCAAAAAGTTCATGCTTGCAGTATAAGAATGCTATATGGTGAAACGAACACTTTCTTTTGGGGGTATCAAATGCCAGAAACAGTTGCCACTTCTTGGTATTCAACCACAGCAATTTCATCAGCCTTACTCTCTCCATATTAGGGCATGAGTTGGTAAGGCACAAGGTGCTTGCTTCCCTTGTCAGTCTCACTCCTCTAGGAAGTATTGTTCTATATTCAGCCCCCAGTGGGTGCTGAATAAATGTTGATTAAACAAAGCAAGTCATGAATGAATCACATCGGCAGGAAGCGTGGGTGCTCAGAACCATAGAAACAGAGATGTGAACTGGGTCCTCTCATCCAAAGAGTAGGCTCTGATTACTGATGTTTGGAAGGACAGGTGGCAGTTTTAAGATCCTCCATATTCCACACTTTGAGATTAGTCTGGTCATCTTATTGCCACTTCTGCTTGGATGAGTGAAAACTGTCCAGGCACACCACAGAGAATCCCCATGGTCCAGCAGAGTCAAGGAAATGATACATTTTCCAGGAACATGGTATGGTTTTGGTGGCAAGCAACACTCCTAAGTGACACAGACTGTGAATGGGGCAGATGATGGCAGGGGATTTAGAGAAGTTTCTATACTCTATATAGGGCATGAAAGAACTACCTAGAACAAATACAGTAATATTTGATCAGGGTAGTGTGTGTGTGTGTGTGTGTGTGTGTGTGTGTGTGTGTGTGTGTACATGCAATCAAAAGATAAGTTTTTCAGGGCTTGTGCTAGTTAGTTTTAACTGACATTATGAGACAACCTAGAATCCTGTGGGAAGATTCTTAATGGGAATAATCCACACCAAGGTGGCCTGGGAGATGTCTATGTTGGCATCAATGTGTATTGATTGTCATTAATCCATATAGAAAGACTCAGTCCATTGCAGGCAGCACCGTTTCATGAGCCAGACCCTAAACTGTACAAGAGTGAAGAAAACTAGCAGAATATAAACATAAGCAGCAAGTCAGGACCCATGCATTTATTCTCAGCTTCTAACGGTAGAGACCATGCTTTAAGTTCCTGCCTCGATGTCCCCACAGAAATGGACCCCCAAACAATCCTTTCCTTCACTAGGCTGCCTGTGGTTGGAAATCTTACGACAGCAACAGAAATGAAACTAGAGCAGTGCCGTATGCCCAAACTCAAACTTCTGCCACCACTTAGAGCTCTGTCTGCACCATGAAAGCCACTGGCAACCATCAAATGAACCGATCCAAGTGCTTGAATAAAAGTTGGTTTACGGATACCAGAGCACGCAGTTCAGATTCTTTTCACTTGTTACCAACTAGATTGCTTTTTCCCTTCAACTATTTAAATCAACAATTCTTAGCTCATGGGACACATAAAAATAGGCAGCACACTACCCGTGGGATCTAGATTTCCAAGCCAAAATGCATAGCGCAATAATGAGAAAAGCAGGGCAGAAAAGAGTAAGGAAAATATGTCAGACTTTTACTAAATACTCTGCAATTTTATGCTGATACAGTGTTCAATACTCCCTACCATCAATATATGTGAAAATTCAGCCACTTATAGGAAATGTTGGTTTCTGATAAGATTAGAGGCCATCATATATCTCTTGAGTGTACTAATTGGATGCTTTTCTCCCAGCTGGCCTGTGGTATCTTCCAAACCCCATTACATGTCCTCCACAAAGAAGCTGCATGCATTGTTATTATTAAACTCTAGTCATTTATTCTAGGAACATTTCAATGTCACACTGCTTGTATTTAGAAAAAGATATGAAAGCTAAAGCTTACTCATTCTTGGACAACTTTCTCTCAGACCACACTCTGAGCAGCCTTACCCATCTGACCTGAGAACTATTACAACTTTACCCCTGCTGTTCTATCAGCCCAGAATAGTCCTTCCTCGGCTTTTAGTGTGTTTGGTCCTCCTTGAGAAATCAGAGCTCCGCTCAAATGTCGCTTAGTCAGAGGTACTGCCCAACTACCCAGTCTAATTCAGTTCTTCAGGGGACTCTGTTTCCATCAAATTGCCCCATTTCTTTACCTTATAAAATAATCTTTATTTTCTTAATTAACTTGTGAATCAATTTTCTTATCTTTTCCTCACATAGCAGTAAGATGTTCACTGTCCTTAGAACCAAGACATTTCTGTTCAATAATTTCTGCCTCTTAATTCTTAAAACGATGCCTAATATTCAGTTTAAATTCTTATTTTAAATAAGGGAAATACTTAGGGGGTTAGGGGCATGTGATAAAATAGCGTAGCTAAACTGTGCTAGTATTTCCACTGGGTTATGGAAATTGGCTATGGAGATGAAGTAGGCTGGGGTACGAGATTAGGAAACTCCTTGTGGGAGTGTATTTTCCCCTCCCTCTGTATGCATTCTGGGACTCAAACTCTGGTCGTTAGGCTTGGCAGCAAATCTCTTTACTCACTGAGCCATGTAGGTGGCCCTACAACTGCATTATGGTGGCAATGAAGAACCACACATGGGCTTTGAACAGGCACATAATAAAACAGTCTTGTGAACTGCCTGACTGGGATGATCACATTAGGAAAATAGAGCAATATGCTATTGTAGGCTCTGTTTATACTGCTAAGGATGGCAAAGGTCAAAAAGAAAGTCAGAGACAATGTTTAAATGAAGCTGAAAAGATGACAAAAATGGAGGTCACTTCAGAGCAAATGTGAAGTCCAGCTGTGCTTCCCCACTCTCTTTCTGAGATGGGGAGACACTCAAAGTGGTACTTGGCACACTTATGGATAACAGAGCTGGAAGAAAAGATGCTCCAAGGTTCATGAATTTTGGTGCTGTCTGACAGAAAGCCTTTTGGGTGGGTTTACCCTAGGCTGAAGAATCAAAATAAGGATGTGGAATTTTAAAAAAAAGAAGAAGAAGGTAGTTCAACTTCAAGTTGCAGTTCAAGCCTCAATGCCTGGTCCAACCACAGAAATGTGATCTACAGAGATATGTCTCTTTTAAATGTGCCAACAGTAAGTAGGAGCCATTTTAAAACACCAAAAAAAATAAAGTAAAAGGACTACTTCTCTTTTCTCTACACTTGCCTCTTTTCTTCCACTGTTTTCCTTACTTGGAACAGGCAAGTATTAACTCTGTCTTCTCTATAATTGTTTGCATTCCACCAGGCACGGGACTTTGTGCATTTCATGCAAGCCTTCTACCAACTTAGCTACATCCACAAACCTATCCATTTTCATGTAACTTCTGTTAGTATTCAAGCATCTCTATTGATCTGCCCTTGGGGTTCTGACGAAATATGCCCTCAGCTGCAGCCACTAAGAGCGAGCATCACCTGTGCGCATTCACTACTTTCCCTTTTAAAAGGGTCCTGACTACCTCCCATTTTTCTCTCTTTATCTCTCTGCTTCTCTGTCTCTCATCTCTTCCTCGGTGTAATCCTCTCTTCTCTTCTGTTACCCCTGTCCCCAGAGGTTGGTGTCTCCTCCCCCCTTCCCCCTTTCCCATTCACTTTCCCCTAACTTTGGACATTGACAGGAACATGAGCACCAAGCAGACTCAGGCAGCACTATCACTGTTCTGGGTCTGTGTGTCCACTGCTGAGCTCACTTCCACTCCTCTGAGTTGGGGAAGCCGTGGGACCTATACTATGGCTGTAAATGGCTGTCTGCTGCTATAATGGAATGCAGAGTGGTCATAGGAAGAAGGTGTTGTGAAATATTAAAGATGTATTGCCTTTGTTTATGCTGTGGAACTATATCGAGAGCCGATGATCTATAGTCCATTTGGTTAAGATATCTTTATTCAGATAAACACCAGCCAAACGCAATCCAGAGCGTGCCAGGGACAGCAAGGCAGGCAGGCCAGAGAGAAGGGGCCCCCTTGTGCCTGCAGCCCCATAAGAAACTAACACATGTCATCCTTACGTCACCTTGACCAGGCCCTGACAGGCATGGTCAGGAACACCTGTAGCCAGCCCTTAGGAGGCATGGTTTCAGTGTTTCCCTACAGTGGAACATTTGTTTTAATGATGCAAAGATGTGTTGCATCCTTTCATGTTTCATATGTTTAACTCTGTGAAACTGTGTTATTTTTCTTGTCTAAATACTTGATTGGTCTACTAAAGATCTGAAAGGTCAATAGCTAGGTAGGAGAAATAAATAGGTTGGGTAGCAGATAGGGAGAATAAATAGGAGGAGAAATATAGGCTCAAGAAAAGAGGAGGGGGGAGTGACAAAAGGAGGAGAGGAGGACACCAGGGGCCAGTCACCTGGCCACACAGTCAGCCACAGAGTAAGAAGGAAAGGAAGATATATGGAATACAGAAAGGTAAAAAGTCCAGAGGCGAAACATAGAAGAAGAGAACCAGGATAATTTAAGTTAGAAAAGCTGACTAGAAACAATCTAAGCTAAGGCTGGGCATCTTTAAGTAGGAACAAATCTCCATGTGTTTATTTGGGACTGGGTGGCAGGCCCCCAAAGAAAAAAAGAAAAACAGCTACAAGAAGGCTTCACTTCCTGAACCTATAAGGAAAGACCCCTGCTAGTTTTAAAGGCCTCAAGGAGACTTACTGAGAAGTCATCACTGGGGAAGAACAGAAGATCTTGAAGAGGATCATTCCGATGGGTCTTTTCAAGTTCTTCAATGACAGTTTCATAATCCAGAGGCTCCAAAAGTCTGGGCTTTTCCTGCTGTGGGAAAAACAAAACAAAACAAAGTCCAGTTAACTGTTGAGTATATCATCTTGCTTCTCTGTGACTGCTTCAGTTTCATTTTTCAGTTGTCACTGAGGTGCTGACATCACACAGCCCTTCCAATTTGGTCTCACACAGCCTCCAGGAATTAGGGACGGAGCCACATAACCCCCTAGAGATTATTTCCCTGAGCTGAAATAAAATGAGCGTACTCTAAAATACCTGACAGCTCCCTGAGTAATTCAAGCTGCTTGTATTGATGGGGGTGCAGTAGATGCTCATGTTGACTTGATCTTTTCTACATTAGGAAGGGCTGCTTACTCAGGATAGTGCTACAACAATGGCCGTGCATTTCTGCTGAATCACATTCTTTCTGAGTTCAGTTTAGGTCAGTTTGCAAACGTTGCCACCCTGCTAGGAAGCAAACTATTGCAGGCTGACTTTGCTGTCAACAAGGCAAGGATCTCCTGTCAGGATTAATTGCTTGCCTCTGAGCTTCTTTGCCTCTACCGAGAGAAGTTGGGTCAGTCTGTAATATGATAAAGCAACTGAACTATGAGAGATACACTGTGCTGAAGATGGGTGAGGCTGAAAAAAGGTACAAATAATCACATGGTATTAAAATCCTGAACCCAAGAGAAGCTGCATACCCTGTGAGAAGCCTCCCCACAGCGAGAAAAAGAGGCTAGAGGGAGAAGCAATGTGTTGTTACAGAGTTGATGTGTTTATTCCACACCATACATGGATCATCAATTGAGAAAAATGGGGCTCTTCCCTAAAGAAAAAAAAAACAGTATTACAAAACAGAAACCCCAAGACACAATGAAAGGGGTCCCCTAATGCTTTGATGAAGTATTCATGCAAATGAAATGAAAAGACTCCGCTGTTCTTAGGTGCCTCTGGGAGTTGGGCTCCTAGAAGTGTGAAGGATCACCATGAAACCCAGATGCTAAAGTGATTTTGTAAATATTAACGTCACTGTCAGCAGCCCTATCCACTTCCTAGCCTCCCACTGAATACCCCACCTCGGTAAAGCATGGTCCCCCAAATTTTCATCTATGTTTTAAAAACTGCTAATGGGCTTCTTAAAATAGCAGTCAATATTGGTTTTGATGATTTTGCAAATATCACAAGGAGCAAAATGTGAAGATCATAGGCCAACAGTGAAGATATCCATCCATTTTTTGGATTAAGAGACAAACAATAGCAACATTATTAAATGATTAAACAAACTGGCAAGGTGAGTGTTCTTTCTGGAAGGGCTGTTAACAAACTGGTTGGGCCTGTCAACAAACTGGCTGCTCCTAGGGCCTTTGAAGAAAAGGAGTTGAGTTGCCCGACACAGTCTGTTTTGTGGCAGTTGCGTGAAACACTGCACACTTGGGGTAGAGTTTACAGAGGCTCTGTGAGAGTTAGGAGATTCTTCCTAGGTCTGCTGGGTTGTGATGCTTTTCCATTCACACTTACTTCTGGTTCAAAAATTCCTTATTTTCCAGGTAAATGCTAATTCCAGTGAACACAGGTTGAGAAGGATTGTGTGTTCAAGGTATGCATGTGTGTGTATGCGTGCGGAAGGATGAGCATGACTGTGTGCATGCAATGAATGTTGGAGATTGATGTCAGTATCTCCCTACATCAACATCAACCTTAGTTTTCAAGACAGAATTATTCAGTGAGCCTAGAGCTCACTCTCTTGGCTAGGCTGGATGGCCATCAAGCTCCCAGGACCCTCCTGCTTCTGTCTCCTCATTGCTAAAGTTAAAGACACATGGCATGGGTGCTGGGTATACAACACAAGTCCTCAGACTTCAGCAACAAGCACTTTGCCCACTAAGCCATTTCCTGAGGTCCATCTTAAAAGTCGCCTTGAATGTCTATTAGCAGAGCATCCCCAGGTCTCGGTTTTTCTATATTATCCCTGGTCTTTCCACAACCTGAATTTATGTGAAACAAAACAAAAAAAAAATTTTTTTCTCTCTCTCTCTCTCTCTCTCTCTCTCTCTCTCTCTCTCTCTCTCTCTCTCTCTCTCTCTCAATGTGTGTGTGTGTGTGTGTGTGTCTGTCTTTCTCTCTCTCTCTGGCCTCACATTAATATGTAAGTATGAAACATATACAATGAAAACAAAACTGTATGATGAAACCTAGCGGGAAGCTCTTATCTTTGCCATAGACTGGGTGGCTTATTTATATCCCTTTCCTGCACAAGTTCCATCTTTAAGTATGTAATGCTGGTCATTGCTCACTGCAATGGCCTATGAAGTGGTTGTTAACACTTTGTCATTTTCCCTTCTCACCCCAGTGTGAACAGGAGTGCATGAGTGTGAGAGCATTGCAACCTAGGGTCTTAAAGAGAAAAGACATATATAAAGAGTGGGCTTCTGAGATCTTGCTCCATTGTTTAAATGTTATGTCTCATTAGTCCTGAACTTAAAAATTAACTAAGAAAATGGGCTAGGGGGTTGGTTTAGTAAATAAATGCTTGCCTTGGGAGCACTAGGTCCTGAGTTTGATTCCCCAGAACCCATGTTAAAAGTGTTGGGCATAATGGTGTTTGTACACTTGTTATCTCAGCACCAGGGTGGCAGGGACATGAGTATCCTTGGTGCTCACTGGCCATGTCTATCCTAGTTATTGAGTCCTGGGGAAAGACCTTGTGTTAAAGGAGATGTTTAGCATTCCTGAGGATCACATGTGAGTGATCTGTGTGTGGAGACGGCTTAGCATTCCTGAGGATCACATGTGAGGTTGTCCTTTGTCCTTCACATGCACAGGCACATATGTTCATATAACCCTGCACACAGGCCCGTGCATATACATTCATATACATATACATATGCACACATATACATATACATATGCACACATACCCACATGTTCCTATACACCCCCCACACACAGCTGCACACCCTACATCCATGCATAGAGAAGAAATGGGAGACAAAAGGATCCTTTAAAGAAGACTTTTCACTGAAAGACAAACTAGCTAAAGCAGTTGTATTCAAGTTACTACAATAGCCAGGCACATCAGAGTTACAGAGTATAAGGTGATTAATATAACAAATTACAAACCAAACCACAAACTCTTCTTGATATATGTTTGTAGATATGGACTGCAAACATTTGCAAGGACAAATTTTTATGTATCTGGCTCAAGCTATGACACATCAAGGAACTCTTGAATGATATCCCCCCAAGCCTTTCCTACTTTAGATATTGCAGTGAAATTATTTTGACATGAGGAAATCTCAAATCTAGAATATCTTCTCACTAAGCTTTGACTGGGGTATACATTAGTAAACTTTTGTCTTTCGGGGGATTTTATTAATGAGTATAACCCAGGATATCCCACTTTTTCTAGTCATTTGCATATTAATTTAGCAAATAAGTTGCATTGAGTTAGCAAGAGATGTAGCATGTGTGAGGCCATGAATTCTAGCCGTATTCTAGCCAGGGGATTTTATTAATGAGTATAAGCCAGGATATCCCACTTTTTGTAGTCATTTGCATATTAATTTAGCAAATAAGTTGCATTGAGTTGGCAAGAGATGTAGCATGTGTGAGGCCATGAATTCTAGCCGTATTCTAGCCATAAATTCTGGATGTGGTGATACACTCCTATAATCCTAGCACTCAGAAGATAGAAATAAAAGGAACAGGAGTTCAAAGTCATCCTAAGCTAGGTTGGTGAGTTCAAAGCCAGTCTAGGATACAGGAGACTCTGTTATAAACAGACAGCACCAAATGATACTAATAGATTCCATAGCCCCTAGAGGCTGAGATTTGGCAAAGCCTGCATGGAGATTTTCTGTATCGGTGGTGGTGAGAGCCGAAGGGTAGACAGGTAGCTCTGTCTCTAAAGCAAGGGACCTGTCTGCTCAGCATCTTGTTCAAAGAGAAATGCACACTCAGGGATGGTGGGATCAGTTATTTTCCCACTCTTGTTCTCTGCAGAGACACTGAGTGGAGCTGGGAACCAAGAAGCATCGATTTATGGTGTTAACAAGGATCGAGCTGTCCCTTCTGAATTTAATGGGCCTGTTTCTTTTGGAAACACACCAAGTGGGATAAGGTATGTGCCAAGATTACCCTGAATTGGATTGCGCTTTTATAGTGCTTTTTACTCTTACTCTTTCTCTCAAATGAGCAATGAATTTCATTAGCTATTCTAAAGTCACCATGCCTGGGAAAGGCACCCACCAGCACCTGTTATTATGGAGCAGGGGATGTTGTGCCACAGTGGTAACAGCCCCATTCTTCTTAGGTACCATTAAGGGATTTGTTTGATGTGGGTCCTCAAATCCACAGCTCTCTTCCAAATCAACTTCACAGAAGAAGAATGGGCTCCTGACACAAAAAACAAAAGCTTTCTTCCTCTGTAGCTAGCCACAATGTCTAATGGTATGCTAACACACTGTGTAAGCCCCACAGTGGGGAAGCTGCCATCTTGTTAGCAGTCCAGGCTGTCAAGACTGTTCAAGTGGCATGAAACAAGTAGACTGACCATGTCCGAACTGGACGTTTTAATTTCTAGTAAAGGATAGTATCACAAAAATCTGGATTTTTTTCATTGCAGCAATTCAGAATCAACTGGTGAAGAAATAACACTGAAGAAAGTGTTTGAAATATATTACCCTTAAAGATCACATGACTAAATTGCCAACCTTTCTCCGGAATAGAAGTACAGTCCAATTAGAAATTAACCTAGACTATTTAGCCTTGTTTTAAAGCAAAGTTCAAAGTCTATGGGAAGATATGGTTGTAGGCTTTCTATGAAAAAACAGTGAGAATGCCTGACTAAACCTTATGGGCTGTGAGACTATGGGTATGGTGATTAAATCCTAGTTTATGTATGTGTACAATGGCTTAGTAGGGGGCACCTTGGGAAATGAAACAATGTTGTACTTCTTAGAATAATATTCATCTATACGACTGTTTTTCCTGAGTGTTAAGTAGATAGACTTACTTATAATTTTTACTACTTGCAGATTGAAAGCACC